GGATCTTACGTTATCTTGCTGGTACACGAGACTATGGGATTGGTATACACAGAGTAAGGATTTCATTCTTGAAGGATTCCCCGATAGTGATTGGGCAGGATTTCTCGATGATAGGAAAAGTACCTCCCGAAAATAAAGCCTCACTTCATTAGTGATTTGGTAACTGCAGCAAGTGTGCATCTTATATTGTGCAACACATCAGCCCAACTTGCCTATATATTCACAAAACCATTGCCTGTTGCAAGATTCGAAGAACTTTGCACACGTCTCTATGTTAGCAACTTTGAATCAAAGGGGAGTGTTGAAAATTATTTATCCTGATTCAAAGTATTTATTATTATTATTATTATTTTTATTATTATTATTATTATTATTTTGTTATTCAGTAGTTTCTAAATTGTGTCGGTTTGTAAAGGTGTCAGTTTTTCCTCTGTTCTTTGGTATTTGTATTTTCTTTGGGTGATAGTACATTGTACAGCATAATAAGAAAAACCTTTCGATTCTATTTTTCCTTTGCAATTGTTGTTTGAATTATACCAATTCCAACAGGTAGATGTTCATGTTCAGGATCTCTTAATTTCAACTTGAACCTCACAACAAATCACATAATGGGTTTCGTAAATATTTGTTTGCCAACACATCGATCAAAATGCAATTAACTTATATGGAATATTTCATACAAATATTATAGTATAGTATTGATAGTCATGTGCTGGTAATTAAACTCTTGTCTCCCTTAAAACCAAAATTTCTGTTAATTAAGCAGTGGACATACCCTTAGCCAAGCTAAGGTTCAATTCTATAATCGGATCATCAGTAGATCGACCACGAACAATAAAAATGAAGTTACAATCCTTTCCAACAATGAATCAGTGCAAAACATGAACATGATCCAACAAAATTACATTACAATGCATTACCGGTTAGCTACGAAGATACCTCCGAAACACAATGATCTTACAGTGTATCTATCCAAACGGCTTCATGCAACTCGTCAGGGGGACTAAAACACTTCGGATAGTATCTTTCATGCAGTAGAGAATAGCACATAATATTCTTCTTTCCGTAATTAGGTTCCACAAAAAAAATGTAGTCTCTCATCCATCGCGGCATGTTATCTTTGACGTATGAACCTGTCGGGCTGGCGAAAAATGTTAGTCCTTCTAAACTTGTCACGTCCAGCCAATAGAAGTCAGTTTTAGATCTAACTTATAAACAATCGGTCGACTAAAAAAGGACATCCAAACAATAAAGATTCCGTTGTGCTCAGCCATGAACCATTTATTCCTTCCCTTCGGAGTAGTCATCCTCGTTGAAGACTCTCCAAGTGCTTCTCATAGGATCGTAGACCACTACAAGAAAACATTGATATAGCTACAAAATTTTGCTATAAAATAATTATATGTCAAAACTGTTACATAATTTGCCACAAAATATAATAAAAAAATAAAAATATGTTTATTCATAACTATTTTCGTAGCAAAATTTGTTATGAATTTTTTTCATGAATAATATTGAAGCAAATTAGCTGCATGTTATTTTTTGTAGCAAATTTCTGTTACATAAAAAAATAATGACATAATTTTAGTCGAAGAGAATAATAGTTATTGTTTGATTCACATTGAAAAGCAGAGAAGGGAGAAAAAAATAGTATTTTTTTATTTCTATTTATTTATTTTGTTTGGCTAGAGATGTGAGGGGTGTAAAAATAAGATGAGGTTACATTTTTATTCTTAAGTAATAAGTGAAGAAAATAAGATGAATAAGAACAAAATTGCATAATAAGTTTTGAATTTTCATCTACAAAACTAAAGTATAAAGTAGCTGGTATCATAGATAGTTGTAAATAAAAATCTAAATAATATCAAGGTAGTAGACTAGACTGTGAGAAAACATTAAAGTGGAATGAAGATATAAAAATAAAAATAAGGATTACGTGAACATATATAACTCGATTTTACATAAAATATTAACATTTATTTATAATTTAAATGAAAATTTTTATAGTTATTTTCACCATTTCAAAAATTTACCAATTGGGAGGACTTTTCTTCGGCTTCCTTTCCCCCCTCAAAGACAATTTGAACAAAACACACATTTATTAATTAAGTGATTGATAAGCCTAGTTTTATCCCTGTATACACAAATATTGTAATTGTCAATAATAATAATTATGAAAACAAAAAATTGAGTGTAATTGATTGTACCCAAATGTAAAACAAACTTAAAACCGCAAAGAGTACTTAAATTTGAAATAGAGAATCTAAGCTACCCTGGTTGCGGAAATAGACTGATTTTTTAAAAAACTTAAATTAGATCTCAGGTTTTTGTTGCTTTTCCGTGGGGTCCCCTGGCCATGGTTTCTCCACTAACACATAGGTTGTGCCATCCGCAAGAGAGAGAATAGATGGATGAATCTGAAATGTGACTAGTTTCTATTTCCAATAGGCCGGTTTTGCGAGAATAGTATTGATGTGTTCACACTCTCTATTTTACTAATTTTTACTAGAAATAATAAATAATATTATTTCTTTTTGTTTCATATTTATTGTTTGTGAAATTATAAAGTGAATAATTAGATTTTATATGACACATATCATAAATGAATGTTACCTGAAAAAGTTAGATTAAATAGTGGGTGTCATTAAATGTTTAATACCAAAGCATTAAAATCAATTCACTAAAATTTTTATTTATTAAGCAATGGGCCTCAAAGCCCATTAGAGCTATAGTAAAATCCGAAAAGAAAAAAAAGGGACACGAGGGGTGACAAACGGTAGCAAGAGGAAACCATCAACATGCGAGCAATATTACGTCTATTACGAGTCTATTCGGATTGTCTTTAAGAAACATAAAAGTAGAATCCAAAAGTTAAAGTAAAAGAAAAAATAGTTTGCTTTTATGATGAGATATATTGTTATAAGAGCATGCTTTTAGAATAAATAATAATAGTAATAAAGTTAAAAGTGTCTTTAACCTATAAAATTTACCAAAAAGATATGTTAATAAAATAAAAATTATATATTTAAAATTTTTAAGTTATTTAGAATGACTAAAAAAAATATATATTTGAAATAAATGCTAGATATGGTACAAAAAAAAATTATAAATCTATAACTTTCAAATCAATAAATATTAATTTTGTTCATTACATATTGCAATAAATATTAAACACAACAAATAAATAAATATTTATGAAATTTCAAAATAAAAGTTACCGAAATAAGACCATACATAGATTGCAATACAGTGCCGGTGGTAACGGATTTTGGATGATTTGTTGATATATAAAAATAGTAATAATCATTGCACTACCATAATATTCCCTTTTTGCCTCGAAATTAGTTTGGAATCAATTCCGAAACTATAAAAACACATATATAATAAATATTAAATCGATTAATTTTGTTTGCCTCAGAATTTAAGAGAGTATGCAAAATAGTTTTGGAATTTCTGAAGCTATATTAAATATATAATTTATTACAATGAATGGTCTCGAAAATTTTGAACCTATTTTGATTAAGTTCGAAAATTCCGAGACTTTTAGTCTCAGAACTTCCGAACCTATTTTGATTAGTCTCAAAAATTCTGAAACTTTTAGTGTCGGAACTTCCGGACCTAATTTGATTAGTTTCGGAAATTTTGAGACTTTTATAGTCTCGAAAATTCTGAACCTATTGTATATAGTCCTGGAAATATCGAACTTTTATTAGTCTCCGAACTTCTAAACCTATTGTAATTAGTTCCCCCCCAACAAATAAATTAATTTTTATTTTGATTTTAATTAATAATTTTATTTTGATTTTATTTAGATATATGCTTATAATTTATTTATTGTGTAAAAATATATGAATAATAATTTATAAATTGTTACATTATAAAAATAATTTAAATAATAATTTAATAAGTAATTAAATTACAGGTAAAATACAATTTTAGTCTCTTTTATTCACTAAAGTATCAATTTTATTTTAAATAGTTTCAAAATATTAAAATTTTTTCTTTGAAAAAAATAATCAAAACATAAAAAAAACCCCTCAAAAAATTCAAACATAAAATTTCCCGCCTAAACTACTGTACGCTAATTTTAAAAAATTTAAGTATTAAAAGTTTATCTATAAAATAAATTTCAAAATTTTAAAAATCCTAAAAGAATTCAAATATAAAATTTCCCACCGAACTACCGTACCCTAATTTTAAAATATTTCGATATTAAAATTTTGTCTTTAAAATAAAATTTGAAACTTAAAAAACCCGAAAAAAATTCAAATATAAACTTTCCCACCGAAACTACCGTACCCTAATTTTGAAATTTTCAATATTTAATTTTTTTCTTTATAATAAAATTCGAAACTTAAAAAACCCTAAAAAAATTCAAATAGAAAATTTTCTGCCAAAACTACCCTACCCTAATTTTGAAAAATTTCAATATTAAAACATTTATTTTAAAAAATTCAAAACTTCAAAAACTACAAAAAAATTCAAATATAAATTCCCGCTTAAAATACAATTTCCAATTTTTAAAAAATTCAAATATTAGTTCTTTTTTTAAAAAAAATATTAAAAATATAATAAAGTCCTAAAAAAAACTCTTCAAACACCCACCACCTACCACCCATCATTAATTTTCTTCATTGATTTATTTCTTCATTAATTCCTCCTCCTCCCGCTGTATTATCTCATTCTCTTCCTTCTCCACCTACTACGTCCTTTTTCTTTTCTTCTTCTCCGGCAGGTGGCGGCACCAGTGGCATCTTGTCTAGTGCGGCGGCAGCGACGCATATATATATATAAATTAATTATTAAACTTAAATTTGATTAATTAATTAATTAAACAAACATGACGTATTGTATTCTGGACAAAACGGCACAAGGGCTTCCTATTTTTCACTCATGATGTTGCAAAGGACTGACTTTATCACCTTCCAGCAAGAAGCATTGACCTATGGAATAATATGAAGAAATTCTTGGAAAAGTATTTCCAAGCTTCCGGATCTACAATTTTGAGGAAAGATATATGTGACATTAAACAAGAATCAGGTGAAAAACTCTATGAACGCTGAGAGTGATTTAACAGATTTATTAAAAAATGTCCAAAATATCGAATTCCTCCACAATTATTGATCCTTGATACTTTTATGATGATTTTCATTGATGGACAATAGCATTATTGATGCCGCAAATTGTGGAGCACCGGTGAATAAGTCACCAACACAAACATATATTTATTAGAGGGCTGAGAATACACAATATAGTTTGAGGGACACTAGACCAAAAAGTGGGAACAATAGTGACCCAAAACATGACAAGTTTTCTTCCCCTAATGAAGAATATGTAGCTGAGCCGCAAAAACATACTTACGCTTCTATAATAAATAATAACTCCAATTGTCACATATCATTGATCACTCTATGAAACTGACATGAGGTTATTACTTTCAAAAGTTGCAGGTTTCCAAAGCATGGTCTGCTCCAGCAATCTCTCAATCACCAGTCGACAAGCCCACTATATCGTAGACGCAGCCAACAATTGAAATCCCTACCCCACTATAAATTGCATCATCAAACCAAATTGAAAGGTATAGAGGTAAGCCAATAGAACCTATATCTGCAGTAGAGGACAAAGAGATAAATTTTCTATTCGGTGTTCAAAGTGCATGAATTGTGTGATTTATTTCATCACCATTCTTCAATTTGGGACAATCCCCTTTGATTTGTTTATTTCAATTGAGTACAAGTCCGTGTATGTACGAATGTTCCATCTACAATGGTTGCTTCTGAGATTGGGGAGAAATTCAAGAAATTTGGTAAAATCAGGCCTAATGAACCATATCCGCATGATAATGATTGTTTAAATAAGTATGATTCATTCCTTGCTCGTGAAAAAAGTGTGAATCACCTCTAATCCAGTGAATGAAAATTCAATTTTATCAAATTTATTGCTCGAAACAACTGAATTTGGTAGTTGTGCACTAATCCTACCGATGAATACTGGTGCACGTACCTCTTCTCAACCCCCCTCCCGTTTTTCCTCTATCTCATAAGTAATAAACAACAAAAAATAGGCATAACTTCCCATTCCCTTAGAGCCCTTAAAATGATATGAGCTCAAACATTTTCATTTGACTATAAGTTCAAAAAAGATTTTGTCTTTAGAGAAAAAGGTTAATATGCTGATTATTTAACAATAAAATCAGATATTCAAGCTCCATGAGTCTCAGAAATTGATTAATGTTTAGGTAGGAAGTATATTAGGCCAAATGGTTCATTCTCTAATGTCCTTATCATATTAATCACATAGACTCCTAGGAAATCAAATTCGACATGCATCTCTACGCAAGTTCTAGAAAACCAAGTCTAGGGCAACATCAGACATAAAAAATATATAACATTTAAAATAAATGCTCTATTAGGCTCAAGTCTCACATAAGGTAAAACATGTCATGCTCGGCATATTAATTGTCTACTTAATCGGAAATTCATCGAATGAAAACATGTCATATTGAAAACAAATACACACAAGTCTTTAGCACACGACTTAGTCATCCAATTGGGCAAACAATGGATATTTTGCACCCACACCCACTATGCACATTGTCCTCAATGAAAAGACATTGTGAAAAATAAAAAATGTAAAGGGACAATTTACTTCACCTATCGGGGGGAGGGGAGGGCGGGATGGTGCGCAAGATTTTCAAAAACTCTGATAAATTCAACTGGCATGGGTATATTGAAAGGCCAGGATGGGCATGCCTAACGTCAGGCCACCTACTGGAATGTCATTCTTAAGTACTCAAAATGTAGTCTCGGACATGCTGAGATCACCATCATCTACAAATTAAACAAACCAAACAAACAAAAATCAAAGAAAATGAAAACATGAAAAAAAAATTGAGTGCCTCCAAATAACGGCTTTCTTTAACGTGTTTTGTTAAACATTATTTATTAAGAATTAAGAAAGAAGGGTGCTCAAGAGCCACTCGAACAAACTTCTTCTTTATCTTTGAATTAGTCATTCCACATGTAATATTTTGCATAGCTCTTCAACTTGTTCCTCTTGGCTTTCATCATTGTGCATGAAATGATCACTAGTAGTATCTAACCATCTTTCAAATGTGCATATTTCAAATGATTCAGCAACGGCTTAAATTCTAAACAATTGAAGGCAACAAACGTGTATTAGTCACGGCAAAGAATAAAGGAGCATGAGAATACCTGTGTAAAACCACTTCTAGCGCATCCTTACCTCACACCTCAAAAACATCATGTACTTCAAAGTCAATGAAATCTAACGAGAAAAGAGAATGAGAATTTGGGGATGTTCAATTGCATAAAAAATTTTAAGTTTAATTCTTTCCCCGCCAAATTCCACCCTTAAACTACCATGCTTTACATCAATCTTAGTACCCACTGTACACATAAAAGGTCTCCTTAAGAGTAGTGGTGATGTGTTGAGTGAATGTTTATCATGCATTTCCCTAACATAGAAGTCAACCGAAAAAATTAAATCATTAACTTGGACAAGGACATAAGTCGTTCGGGATATGCATGCGTCATATTAGCAAGTTTAATAATAATCTTAGTTTTCTTTAGTGGTGCAAGATTCAATCAATTATAAATTGATTTTGGCATGACATTAATTGCCACACTTAAATCTAACTTAGCACACTTGACTTCTAATTTCCCTATTTTACATGGGATTGTGAACATACTTGGGTCCTCACACTTCGGATGAATCTTTCTTTGGAGTAGTGCCGACACATTCTCATTTGCAATGATGCATTCATCACCCTTTAACTTCCGCTTGTTGGTGCAAAATTCCTTTAAGAACTTCGCGTATTTAGGAATTTGGTGGATTGAGTCCAACAATGGTATATTCAACTCGACCTTTCAAAATATCTTCAAAACTTTATTCTCTATTTTTAAATTTTTCGGCTTTGCCAACCTGGAAGGAAATGGCAAGATTAGTAGTCAATTTAGTGATTGTTTCATCAATTACCTCGTTTTTCCTTTCATCTTCCTTCTAGATTTCCGTCTCGATGGTGCTCTCGTCTTTGTCCTTTGGAATGATTGGTTCCAGAGCTCCCACAGCCTTTCCAGTTTGTAAAGTCATGGCGCTAACATCTTTGAATCTTTTCCGGTTGTGATGGCCATTTCCCCGTCTCCCTTTCCATGACATGGAGAAGATCCGCCACTATTTGCTCCATGCGAGATTCAAGGTTTTGAATGCTCACCCTCGTATCTTGTTGGAATCGAGCCGTGTTAGCTAAAATGGTCTTCATCATTTCCTCTAGTGCCGTGATAGATTGGTTTGGTGGTGGTGGCAGTGGTGGCTGGAAGAATTGATGTGGAACTGCTTGCGGTCGGAACCCTTGATGTTGCAGATTCTCATACCTGAGATTCGGATGATCCTTCCAACATGGGTTGTAGGTGTTTGAATAAGGGTCATATTGCAGTTGCCTCGGTGGACCAAAATTGGCTACATTCACATCGGCATAACTTTACTCATGCAAGGCAGGGCATGCATCGGTGGCATGCTCCGGCTCGTACAAATGCCACACTCATTCACATGGCACGTCTTTCCTACAACCAATTGATGAGCAAAATTTGTAAGTTCGGAAATTTTTTGTCAAAGAGAAATGTTACCTTCTGAATATTCGACTCTTATGATTCCAAATTGTAGTGAATTCTCTGTCATCCTCACAGTCAAATCCCACGCAGCATTTGAGGTTTTATCCGATAATTCTCCTTGGCTAGCGGCATCAATGTTGTTCCGGTCCCAGTCCTTCATAAAAATATTGGAGCAACAGTTGATCTGTAATTTGATGTTGCAGGCATCGCACAAAAAGCTTATTGAACCTCTCCAGATATTTACGTAACGTCTCTCCTTGTTATTGTTTGATGCCTCTCTTACGCAATGTCGTTGCGCATGATGCAGGAAAATACTTTTCACCTCAATCTAATATATGTCATTCTCATCTGTCCTCCCTTGGTATGATTTGAAATTTCTAGGTGTTACTTGCCTAGATGCCGGAAAATACTTTTCACCACATTGTCTCTTTCTTACATGCAATGTGTGACTATTGGGATCCTAATCATCCTAAACATATGGGTCATCTACATATAAAAAATGACCACCTTCATAGACCTTTGATGGTTGTTTTAAACTTTCTTTTTTTCAAAGAAATACTTCTTCAAAGTAATTTGGATTTAATAATCTTAAGACATGAGTGGCCATTATTTTTGCTGCTTTCATCTTCTTGTTCTACTTGTTTAGTAAATTTAGTTAATGTAGTGGTTATGGTAAAGGGTGAAATGGGTTATTGGTTTTCTACTATTATGGTGACATACTTTTGAAGATCAACTTTAATTTCCTTTTTCATCTGTTCGTTGAAGTGAGCATGATGTGTTGTGTTTGTGAATGGAGGACTTAAGCCATTTTCAATAGTGCCAACCTTCAACCTCTCTTTTTGTAGCCGCCCTTTGGCCTTTCATAATATTGATTTGGCCATTGTTCAGGAGCATATCAAATATTCCATCACCCTTGGACTTATTGAGTAAAGTTTCTTTGGATCCTACTAACATGTTGTTTTCTCGGGTTTTATGCCGCCACCTCATCAAACTTTCTTTTATTGGTTATACTATCTTTATCTCTAAATAGGGTATCTGTCGTATTGGCTTTCGATTCCAGCTAGGTGAGATGGGTTATTTTGTGGGCAATTAATTAGTTCTTGTAACTGTATATTAATTTTTCTAGCCCCTAAGTCGGTAAGTTTAGAATCATAAATAATTGTGGAGCACTAAATTCTTTTTTTTCCTTACCCATTTAATGAAGTGCATGGATGATTCATCCACTTTTTCTTTTATTTTTTGGTTTCCAAAAAATCTTTTAATGAAACAGTTACGATGTAATCAAAGAATCTATGTGAAAAAGTTCCCATGTCTGGAAATATCATAGTTGTAATTTCATGAATCAAAAGAAAGATGTTCTCATTAACACCAGTGAAAATAAATACATCTTAAAATTAGATTGTTCCATAATCATGTTCACCGAGATACGTTGAGAATTTAGAAACTCTAAAATTACTCAACAATGAGAATTTGGCAT